GCACAAAGGATAAAAATAATTACAATACCATTCTAAGACAAGCACAGTTGGAAAGCCAAATGTAAAAAATCATGAAATGTATGATAATGCTAATATCAACTGTTTTTACCTTGAATATCGATGCTACTCATCATGACTATTAGTATGAACATTGGAAATATGATTATACTGTTTGATAAATTGCTTTGTAAGTATGGTGAATTTCTGCTAATTGAACCGGTATAAAAAATAGAAAAGCTGAACTGCCAGTGTTTTATTGCTTTGTAAGTTTAGTAATATAATTCATGTTCTTAGTTTTGAATATTTTATTTTAAAAGATGAAGGGAAACAATAGAGTTAATGTCACTATTTTTATTATCAGAAGTGTAAGTGTTTGGAAATAAAACAAACTGGAGCAGAGGCACTAATTTAATACGTACCTGCAACCTATTTGCAAATAAGAAAAGAACCTTGAGACTAGAATTAAAAAAATCTATTAGAAGAAAAGTTTTTAGGTTATAGTTTTAAGAAACAGAGTGTCTACATTGACATACAATGAAATCATGTTCTTGAAAAATATAATAAGATAGTAGCAGGTAATATTTAATTTGACTAATGCTAACTATTTTTTATAATTAAAACTTTGAAGAAAAGAATGTTTGTAAATACATACATACACACATATATGTATATATACTGAAATCATTTTATAAATGGATGAAAATCTTCTTGAAGTGTGAGACAATTACTCCCAATAAAACTAAAACACTCAAATTATAGTGCTTGTTTTTCACTTTATTTTGCACTTTGTTGTACAATGTTATAATATGTATACATACGTAGGTGTAAATGGGTGTGTGAATATACACAAAGGGTCTTCAAAAACTTCATGGAAAGATTCGTATTATCTTTTAAATCTATTTTTCCACGAACTTTTTGAATTACCCTTGTACAGTATATGTGTGTGTGTCTGTATACTTGCTTCACTTTTGTGATGAAATATTTAAAGTAATATTACCTTTGGCAAGTCAGAGAACCTGCAAATCGCGTGTCAATCAGAGCTAAAATATTGAGGCTACCTGAGGCAAAAGAAACATTTTTTTTTTCTTTTTGCCGAGCTTCATGTTCAATTTCAGTTTTAAAGAGAGAATCTTTTTGATTACTGAGTGGGTTAAAAATGGCCTTTTTAAAGGGAGATAGAATTTGAGCCTCCTCATCAGAGGCTATTGCTGTTAAAGAGTAGTGTAGAATTCCACTTACCATCTAATCAAAGAGCTGGAGTTAAGAAACCAGGCTTGCAACTTCCTGCTTGCCCTGTATGCTGTCTCTTGTGCTTCTGAATAGCCATTAGCACAAACTGCTTGAAAGGAAAAGGACTTACCCTCAGGGCAATGAACTACAAGTAGTGGGGAAGACCTCCAGCTGGATTTAGGAAAGAAAAAAAAAAGAATCTAAATGGTAAATCAGAGTGTACAAATAACTTGTACGAACACAGATTGAGGTCCTAGAGCCCACTTTCAGAAAACTAAATAAAGATATGGGGAAATATTTTGGCCACATAGGAGGAAGTAGGCTGATCTTGGGGAGGGGGACGGAAGCAGAAACAAACCTGTGAGCCTTTCCATCAATTAAACACCTTGAAACTTAATAAAGTCATTAAATTGAATAGATAAACTGTGGTACATCCAGACCATGGAATATATTCAGTGATAAAAGGAAACGAGCCATCAAGCAGTGAAAAGACTTGGAGGAACCTTAAATGCATATAACTAAGTCAAAGAAGCCAGTCAGAAAAGCCTACATACTGTATGTATGTATGACTTATGACATTCTGGAACTATATGACATTCTGGAAAAGGCAAAACTGGGGAGACAGTAAAGTGATCAGTGATTGTTGGAGGTTGGAGGGGGGGATGAATAGACAGAGCAGAGGATTTTCAGAGCAGTGAAAGTGCTCTGTATGACAGTATAATGATGAATATGTCATTGTACCTGTGACCAAGCTCACTGAATATACAACAGAAAGAGTGAATTCTACTGTAGGGTATGGAGTTTGGATAATAACAATGTGCCAATGTAGGTTTATCAGTTGTAGAAAACATGTCACTGTGGTGGGGGATGTGGATAGTGGGGAAGGGTATGCATGTGTGGGGACAGAGGGTACATGGGAAATTTCTGTACCTTTCTCAATTTTGCTGTGAACTTAAAACTTCTCTAAAAAAGATAAAGTATTGAAAAATAATAATAAAGTCTAGTTCTAGAAATATTTTTTGTTATCGAGTCATTGTGAAAAAGGTATTTAACATTTTATCTTTTTCTTTGATGCACCCTAAAAGTCATCATCGTGAAAAGCATATATTTTGCTTCTCAAACTTAGCTGTAATTGTACCTTAGAAAGAGTTGATTAGTTGGTTCTTCAATGTACAAACTGAATATTTGCCCTTATTTTTTTATTTATAAATTTTATTATTTTTTAAATGTAAAACTATGACACAGGTAAATGTATGGTACAGCTTTTACTTAACAATATGTCATAAACAGAAATGAGAAATGGATACTTATTTTTTTAATAAAAAGAATTTTAGTACAGTAATATGTTCCTTTAAAAAAGCGAAGCTAAATATAAACTTTATGTTTATGTTCATGCTCGATATATGCATTACATAAAAGAAAATTATGTGGTCTTCATGTTCTCTAATTACTTCTGTTCAGTATTATGAAAGCTTATAATTAAATACCGTGCACCTTAGTTTAGAAGCATAAATAAAATTATCATTCTATTTTCTAAATAAGTGAAAATGTTTGACTTGCTTACAACTAATGTCACAACATGTTCTTTTCTTTCTCTTTTGCTTTATTTTTTTGTATAAAAGAGTTAAATCAAGCTGATAAATCATTTCAGTACCATAGGGAAAAGCTTGGAAGAAAGGATTAGCTCATCAGGCAGGATGAGTTAGGTCATAGCTTATCCAACCATAATTCAAGTGCTGTGTTCTCCAAGACTGGAAGTTATGGTTATGGCAAGGATCAGTGCCAAAATGTCTTTTATCATAGGTTGAAACTGCTTATTCCTGCAGCTGGCTAAGCTTTAGTTGTCTAGTTGCAATCATTTGGGGCCTTTTTTTTTTTTTTTTTTTTGAAAGCTCAGAATGTCTTCAATTCTCTGCCTACCATGGTTTATAAAATTAATTAGTTTGTATTAGATACACAGTGATACTTCCGTTAAGAAGGAAAATCCATTTACAATATGTGTCTCTTTTTGATAACTTTATAAACAGGAGTAGAATTAATGTGAAACATAGAGCTATCTTTGAAGTAAGTAAGAGTTTGGTAAAGAAAATGGAGAATGGCTATAGAGCTGTGTTTTTCAAACTGTGAGCTATGACCAGTTAGTGGATAGTGAATTCGATGTAGAGAGTCTTTGACAAAATTTCAAGGGTGAAATAGAATAGAACAGAACAGAATGAAACGGAACAGAACAGAACAGAACAAAATAGAATAGAATAAAGAGGTTAACATAGAAAAGAAAATATGTGGACATTTGTAACCCATCCCCCATGATGTTTATGTGTGTTCTTGTGTGTGTATGTGTGTGCTTGGTTAAGATATAAATTATTTTTTCTTACTTTTTCTTATTATTGGCATTGAGCAAAATTAGTCTGGTAGCTAGTATAGAATAAAGAGGATGGACTTACTTTGTTGGCTATGAAAATCTGGGAAATTAATCTCTATAGAACTGTTTTTCATCTGGAAAATGGGGATAACACCATCTACCTCACATGCTTAATGTGAAAATTAAGTGAGATGATATGCGTTAAAGCTTCTACCATGGTTCCTGCCACATATTCGACACTCAGTAAATGATACCTTTTATTACAAGTGATATTGCCATTGATAAAACTAACTTGGGACATTTCACAGTGCATTAAATGCTATACCTGGAAATTCTGAGATAACTGTACTAGATGATATGTATTCAATTAAAGTTATAAATCAAATTAAATAGCCTAGGGCAAGAGATGTGCAGTCAGGTAGGCCTGTGCTAGGGGAGGACAAGTTTATAGAACTGTATTTGGTTGGAATTATTTCCTCCATTCAAGTATTTCCTGGTTAGAATCTAGTAGTCGTTTGGCCCATTAGCTATTTCACTCAAATATCTTTTATATTATCTCAGAGAATAATTGGCATTTACCTTCAGGTCTTGTCAGGTATACATTATCTGGTTTCAGATGTTTCTCTGTAAGATGGAACTAACAATTTAATGTGAGCAGTTTTAGTTAGAAAACCTTCTGGCAGGTAAAAGTAATCATCAGCATTTGTGAAAGGTCATTCATGTCCTATACCTGTGTCTTGGAACTGGTAAAGTTAGTGAGCTTCAGAAATAAAGTGAAGACCATATTAAAATCAAACTAGTCATGTGTTCTTACTTCTCTAATTAAATGTCCATCGTGGTTGTTCAGATTCTTGTTTATGTTCTCTTTAACTCATGGGTAAATTTCTTGATGGAGAAGAACGATGTCTTATTCATGCTACCGGCAAACATTTGACATAAATACATGTTTTACAAATTAATGATTACTTATTATTGATATGTAAAACATATTGCGACAGACTCATATTTCTTCTTCAGTTTTTGTGAAAGACCGATTTTTAGTATCTTCCTAGCTGCTTTCGAATTGTCACTGCTGAAACTTTATAACTTTCTCTGATGAAAGCAGAGAAAGGTGGAATGTGAAAGTGGGTCTTCATGCATTCAGATCTGTTTACCAAGTCCCCCTGACCCTCCCGTCCTCCAGTGGCAGGCAGAGCAGTGCCTGTGTCCCTGAATCCCAAAGAACTCTGTTATTTACAACAGTCATAGAACATGTCTAATTCTGCTATTCTAGAATTCCAGAGAATCTGGTTATCCCATGCCTAAGAAATATATAGCTTTCTACATAGTCTATATGTTATGTATTTTCTTCATTTGTTTGAGAACACTGTGAGTATTTTTAAAAATATAAAGGCAATTTTTTTTCCAGGTCTGAGGATGAGTAAAGGTGCCATCACCCCTCCCCGAAGTTCTCCTGTGTCTTCGTGTTCCCCGGAAGTCATCCATCTGAAGGACATTGTCTGTTACCTGTCTCTCCTTGAAAGAGGAAGACCTGAGGATAAACTTGAATGTATGTGCTTCTTAATTTAGTTTACTATCAAGGTTGGGGGCAGGAGAAGGGACTGGATATTGATGAACTTAAAATTACATCTATTATAGTTGTACAAATTTTTGTTAAAGTGACCGTGCTTAACAATAAAAAATTCCTCCTACTGAGAATCAGACAATTAAAAAATACTAAGGTGTATTAATTTCAGGTTCTTATTTATCAAGTTCCATTTATTACTGATTATTTCTTAAGAATGTTTTTCTGTCATTAGACTTTTTTTAAAAGAATGTTTTTCAGTTCTTTTGAGTTAACAAGATGCTGTTGTAAAGAAACCTTTGATCTGTTTAGAAAAAGCATTTATTTCTCGTATGTGAAGAGGCCTTCCCATTAGTGAACAGCAAGGGTCTCTATAAACAGTAGCCTGCACCTTTCTCCCATGGAAATCTCCCTTGCAACCTTCAGCACGAACACTTTCTTTGGCAGGGATAGATGATTTCTCAAATGCCAAACCTGAGAGTTTAATTTACAGGACTTGACTCTGTAAATTATAAATAATTAAACAATAGCTTTTTTTTTTTGTTCTAGGATGTTGCAAATAGAGAATTTCTATTTAGTTGAAAGTAAATTACTCTATTTAATAAAATGTAGTAACTGAGCTCTCTCTTGTGGCAAACTATACTCATTGCAATGCAAGAAAATATTTTTCGGATATTTACTCTAAATCTAATAATTTGATAATTGGTTCTATTTCTGAAGCCCTTTCTAAATATAGTGCTGGCAGCTTAGTCAGTAATTGGATTACCTTAATTACACTGGATGTCATTCAAATGAATTAAAAATTCTTGCTACTAAAATGATAATGAAGATAATAAATCCAAACTTTAATATTTCTAAAGCAAATGTAGAACATGGTAATGTCTCAAAATCAACATTAGGAAGCATTTTTAGTTGTATTTAATAGAACTTATAGACAATATTTCTCCTAACAATAAAGAATTTACTGTAATCTGATTATTTAAGAGTCACACCTGCTTAGGTTATGAATAAACCATATAAACATCATTCTTTAAATATATCTTTATTATTCATAAATGTTGAATATTTGAAATTTGAGATTTATTTTGTATTCCTAAGAACCTAAGATTCTCCTAAGAATCTCTCTCATTCCAAAATAAATATTAATGTTCAGTGAATTTCTGTTGAAGCTATGGCCAGAGAGAAAGTTTGCTCAGGTGTTATCTGAACCATGTTTGGGATGATTATAAAAATACAAAGGCAAATATCTTTTCCAGATCTGAGAATGAATAAAAGCACCATCAATTCTCCCCAAAAGGGTCTTTAGTGTTACAGTTTATCTATTTCTAGGGCAACTGGAGGTATATTGCTTTTAAGGTGGAATTTCTAAGACTCATGCTTTTGAGTTTTCATGTTGAGCCCTTGAACCTGCACAGACTTTTTCCACAATGTGGGCTGAATGTTAAGGCACTCACCACTCAAAAACACCTGACAAATCAAATCTATCTGACCTGCCACTAACTTCTCTTCAGTGTTATCAACCCTCTTCTGCCTGTTCTTTCTTTGAATTTCCCAGCTTTTTTCAAGTTTATGCCAGATTCAGTGGCATTTTTCTTTTTCCTTAAATAATTCTTCAGACTTTTCTTATAGGCAGACTTGTGGTGGTGTGACATTATTACTGTGATTTTCACCAAACTCTTCAAAGTAAATGATGCTCTACTTCTCTTCTCTAACTATCCTCTTATCTGGTGGTTCTTACCCTGGCTATCCATCAAAATCATGAAAAGTCTGATTTTTTCCTTTTACTTTTTTAATGCCAATTCCTGCCCCTTTCCCCCATGAGATAAATCAGAATCCATGCCCCTCAACCACCTTTTTTTTAGTAATTTACCATATATTTGTACCTTTCTATGATCGTATATTAACAAATTCCTAACATTCAGGGGTTCTTTTACAGTTGTAGATTTTTTTTCTCAGTAAAACTTTAAAAAGCATTTAAAGGTGGTTATTTGTATATATGCTTACTTCCAAAAGGGCTATGACTTACTAAACACAGAAGAATGCAAAGAAGCAAAAGCAATTATAATTAACACAGAAATAGATGTGATGAAGCACCTTAAATAATTAACTTTTGCAGGTGAATGCAGAATTCGGATCTTCCAGATAGCTAAGCGGAAAGGAATACACCCACACTGGTTTAGGTCAGAAGTCCTCAAACTTTATCACACATCAGAATCACATGTAGAGCTGTGAAACACAGCTGGCTAGGTCCCACCTCTAGGGTATCTGATTCATCAGGCATGAGGTGGGACTTGAGGCTCTGTATTTCTGCCAAGTTTCCAGGTGACGCTGATGCTGGGACCACATTTGGAGAAGCACTGGCTTACACGATTCCTTCTGTCCACTGAAAATACACACACACACACACACACACACACACACACAATTCATCTGAAATAGTGTTCGTTCTTCTTGGAATTGATGAACAGTGGCAGTATTTGTTAGATTTGTTTCTGTGGGTTATTAGGTAAAATAATTAAATTGTTGTCAATGTTTATAAAAGGAATGCTTTTTTCCCAAAATAAAGTTTTATATATCTATTCAGTGCTTCCCACCACTTCCCATCTCTCCACCTGTCTGTCTGCCAGGAATTTACACAATGTTTAGTATAAAGCTTATCCCATTGAAAAGAAACTAACAAAAGTTTCTGAAGTTTCCACCGATTCTTAACCATTGCTTCAACTTGATTTTCTTAACCCAATCCTAATTCCTCTCTGAGGACCCTGCCTGCCTTGAGGCTCTGTCAGGTAGAAGGTGTTTATTAATCTGCTCCCATGTGCCCTTAGAAAGAGTGTATACTTATGCACGTGTGTGTGCTTGCATGCGTGTGTGTGCACGTGCTTGCATGCATGTGTGTGCATGTTGGGATTGTCAGGAGATCCCATATTTATTTTTCCTTGTTGGTATCAATGACCAACCATCCCAGTGAATGGATGAGGATATGGTACCAAGGCTGATTCATCCTGCTGACGTTAAACTCACACAGTACTTCGTGGAGAATCATCTCTCTTTGAGTCTCCCTGAATTCCTCAAAGTCTGTGACTTCCCCTCCATTTTATTTCAGCCCCCCATTTCTGTTGCAATCCTTTAAGTCTTATAGACTCCAAGAACTGCTCTCATTCTAAAACTCTAAACCCCAGAATTTTACATTGACCACAGCCTATGTGTACTTTGTTTCACTCTCCTACTTTTACTTAAATATAGCATAGCATAGTACTTAAGAACTTGGACTCTTGATTTACACAGATTAAATACAAACCCTAGGTTGACACTCTCTATCTGAGTGACCTGGGTACATTTTAAAAACCTCTTCAGGATTCACTTTCTCAACTGTACAAGTGGGATCATAAAATAGTGTCTATCTCATAGGGTAGCTTTGAGGACTAAAAGAACTCATATCTGCTCACATAAATTCCTTCACATTTATTAGTTCACATAAATGTTAAGTGACATAAATAAAAGTAAGCTAAAAATTTTTGACCCTTGATCACTTCACTTACTCCTGAATTTGCCTGCTGCCGTTTGGTCTCTCATTCATTCAAATTTAAACTGACCCCATAATCCTGATGTCAATTATGCTCTCCCACTTAGTTTCAAGTATCTAATTTATTTGCTTGCATACTGAGGTGGCAGAGATTTAGGGAAAAACAATATAATTCTGGATTATATCTCTACACAAAACCTGAGCTGGCCTTCAGTACCTAGCATTTCTCTCAACTCCTGTCTTCCACTTAAATGTTAATGCTGGTTCTTTGTTTTTTCAAACACCTACCTGTTTAGTCATCATGTCACTCACTAGGTGTGAATTCTTGTAACTTCTTCTTGTGTTATCTAAAACCATGTCAACCACTATATCTATTCTTTCCTGTTGCTCATGATGAAAAAGTACTTATTTGTTAGTTACTGATTGAATAATACATAAAATTTGAACCCTTAATTTAGCCTCCATAAATTGATACTGGCTCCACAACTGGACCTTAACCTGCCTCTCCAGTCTTGCATTTGGATTTGACCTGCACATACAAGCAGTGTCCCAGTCCCATGGGTCAGCTTTTCAATCATCGGACACACCTTGAACCTTTCCACCTTCGTGCCTTTGCTAGTAATGTGCATGTGTTCAGGTTGTTCTTTGCCAGTGTAAACCTGATCCAGTCCAGTCTACACTTGATGTCTAGGTCACGTCATGAGTCCTCTTGTTCTCCTCATATCCTTGTACTCTGTGTAACTGCCTATCCTATCACCTGCCACCTGAGTGTGTGTATGAACAGAGAGATAATAAATGGCAGTTAAATAGAAATGTGGTAAGTCAGTTTTTATCTTTGAGAAAATAAAAATAATGTGAATTATTTAAGACATCAAATAATACTGTTCATTTATACTTTGACTTTAAAATGCATGACATTCACATTTAGATTAGTGTTTATCAAGTTATTAGTGACTTAATAATTTTTAAATTATCTTACATTTACCAAAAATGTCTTTAGAGAGTGGATAATTGACATGCAGTTAATGATGAATAACCTGTAGGTTACAGTTATTTTTATGTATATTATTACTGTTAGAACCACTAAAATTTAATATTGGAGAGATCCTAAATATCATTTAGTCAACCTTTCTGTAATTTATCTATGAAAAAAACTGAAGCCCATAGAGACTGGTTCTTAATTATACCAACGGTTTATCTAGTTGTGTCTAAAACCCATGATTTCTGATCTATTACATAGTGCTTATTTTTAACTTTAAAAAGCTATCTTTTGTTGTTTTTATTGTTGTTTTTCTTGTGGAAAAAATAATAAAATATTACTCCAATACATTGGATGTCAAAAATTCTAAGCAACTAATTTTTCTCACCTCTGGTTATTAAGTATGTATTGAAACACATAAAACAGTAAAAAATTGTGAATTAAAGAAATTTCAGTTTATATGCCTTTAAAATATATACTTTC